CCCTCGGCCGCAAAATCAGTGCCTCATCCTCGTACCTTTACACTAGACACTTCCGAGTATAAGTCCACTATCAAACACAATAGAAATAATGATTCGGTTTTACACAGTTCTACATCTCTTGATTCAGCCGTAGAATCTGTAGTAGTACCTAATGGAGAAATAATTATACCTTCATATGACAATGAACGTTTCAATAAAAAATTTAAATCAGAAGTTTCGGTTCGTCATGGTCACACTGAAGAGATCTTAGTTGATCCATGCATTGTTGAAGGTACTATTCTTACGAAAGTTACGGCAAAAAAGAAACAATTGCGGAAATTTAGAATTGATGTTGAACTGTGTCGCATTTTATGGGATTCAAAAAAATCTGGAAAAGGTATTTACGATTGATTTTTTCACGTTCATTTTTTAGTTATTCTATATAATATCTCATGCAAGTTATCTTTTAATAGTGAACATTGAAAATATAAAGGAAATTCGAACTGGTGAAGCAATTCGTAATTATCGGGAGCATTTCAAGATGAGTTGTGATCATGAACCTCGATGGTTTACAATAGTTTATGTTGAGGCTGGAAAATATAAAATTCTTCATCTTGTTGCCGATACTTGTGAATTATTCAATAAATGGGTGGATCATTTGGAAAGATTATATCTACATAGAAGAGAAATGATGCGAGGATTAGGAAGTTTTGAAGAAAAACAGTCTATTTGGCTGAAGCAATATTGGAAACAAGCTGACAAGGACGGAAACTCAAGATTAAAATTTGAGGAAGTTGCTAGATTATGTCATCAATTGAACATAAATATGTCAAAGACATTATTAAAGGAAAAATTTCAAGTAAGTTATAAATTTTTTTTCTTTTGGTGTACAATCATTCGATGATGTCATTTATTAATATTTAATTATTAGGAGGCTGATAAACATAACCATGAATATCTCAATTTTGTTGACTTTCAACAATTTGTAAGGATAATCAAGAAGCGACAAGAATTAGTTGAACTTTTTGATCAGTTAAAAACTCAAAAAAATAGAAATACCCTGACACCGCAAGAATTCAAAAATTTTCTGTTGGATAAACAAAAAGTATGTAAATCATCATTTTAATTGTAAATGAATTGTGTTTTATGCTTTACTTTTTTTATTATTTTTAGTGCAATCTGAAGGAAGAAGATTACGATAGTCTTTATTACAAATTCTGCAATAAAGACCGTAAGGAAATGATGAATCTTGAAGGCTTTAGTAGCTTTTTGATGTCTGGCGACAATTCTGTTTTTGCTTTAGAACACACCAAAGTCAACCAAGACATGTCGCGTCCTTTGAATCATTATTTCATCGATTCTTCTCATAATACGTATGTTAATATATTTCTGAATTGTATTCAATATTTCTGAAATTAATCAATCAATTAAATAATTTTTAAAATAGTTACCTTCTCGGTCACCAGTTGACAGGGGAGTCTTCTATAGAAGGTTATATACGTGTTTTGCAACGTGGCTGTCGGTGTGTTGAAAGTATGTGTTATCGCTTTCCTCGTTATTTCTATATTCTTGGTATAGGATTATTTAACAAATTACCTCTCATTTTACAATATAGTTGATTGTTGGGATGGACCTGATGAACCTATAGTTACGCATGGTCATACATTGTGAGTTACAAAACTGATACTGCGCATATTATTTCTTCGTTACGTTCGATTTAATGTAACTAATTATTTTACTTTAAATGCGATTAGGACATCGAAAATTTTATTTAAGGATGTTATTTCTGCTATTCGCACATATGCGTTTCATGCTAGTCCTTATCCATTGATTTTGTCACTTGAAGTTCATTGTTCTATTGAGCAGCAAAACATGATGGCAAAAATTTTAACTGTTACTTTAGGAGAGTATCTTGTCACCAGTTTCTTAAACACTGAACCTGAATTGCCCAGTCCTAAAAGTTTAATGAAAAAAATTCTATTAAAAGTAAGCTGAAAAAAAAAATTAACCAATTTTTCTGGAAATCATTAATAATTTCTAAATTTCCTGCTTCTAATAGGGAAAAAATCTCCCACCAGATGCCACAGAAGATTCTTTTGATTCTGCTACAGATACTGAGTCGGCTACAGATACCGAATCAGATGCTGAATCATCAAAAGGCAAGTAATTTATATTTTGTTCACATTTGACTTGATTTAATATTAAACTCTGACCTTTATTTTACGTTTAGATAAGTTACAAACTAATAAGGGGAAATCAAGGGTTTCCAAAGCTCTCTCTGACTTAGTAATTTATTGTTCGGCTGTCAAATTCAAAGGATTTGATTATCATCGCGGTATGTATAAAAACTCCTATGAAGACTATTTTGAACACCTAGCTTTATATTACGAAATAGCGTTATTAATAAAAGATAATTTATCATAATACATATTAGAGAAATCTATGTATTACCATATGTCTTCATTTTCCGAGCGAGTTTCAAATCGACTTTGCAAAACAGAAAAGCAATCTTTTATTCAACATAATTCACGACATTTGTCGCGTATTTACCCAGCAGGATTTCGTATAAGTTCATCAAATTATGAGCCACATCTTCATTGGATGGTTGGAAGTCAAATGGTAGCTTTGAATTATCAGACATTTGGTTAGTTACTATTTCGTTTAACTTCTTAAAATTATGATACAAGTTTTCATTAACTTTAGCCGACTTTTATCAGATCTAGGTATGCAAATAAACCAAGCCATGTTCGCTGTTAATGGAAGATGTGGATATGTTCTTAAACCTGAACGTATGCGTTGTATCGAACCTAATATTTCTGTTTCCCCAACAAAATCAACACAAACTCTGAACATTACGGTAAATAAAGATTAAAAAAAATTATATATTTAATATCATTTTTAAATTAATATTAACTTTTTTTTATACTTATGTATAAAATAAATAGGTTATATCTGCTCAACAACTTCCTAGACCTAAAGATGTGGTCAAGGGGGAAATTATCGATCCATTTGTTGAAATAGAATTATTGGTTCCAGGCGCAGATGTCGTTAAAAAAAAGACGTCTATAATAGATGATAACGGGTTTAACCCATTTTGGAACGATACATTGACGTTTACCATTGATTTTGAATATTTGGAACTTGTGTTCTTACGGTAATCATTTTATTATTATAGATCCATCAATCGGTTTTTTGCGTGCAAATTTGCTTGCAATTTATTTCAATTACTCATGTAATTTGTTAAAATTT